TAGCTCGCTAGCAGCCTCGCACCGAGGACCTATCCACGTCATCATTTACCCAGAATGCTTTGTGTGCAAATAAAATGGCTCCGTCCGTGTTAAAAAATATTTTTAAAAATTTAGTTTGAAAACTGAACATCCTACAGTATTTTAGTCTTTATTTTACAGTTAAAGTTGATCAAGTAAAGTCTAATGTTACATTTAATCATGGATGCCTTTAAACTCCACTTCAGGTTGTTTTAATTTTCCAAACTAGAGTTTAGCTGCAGTCCCTGCTGAGCAGCTGGAGCTGTGGTTTTAATCAGACGTTTGTTTGAGCTCTGCTCCACACTGAGCCCACAGTAATCCCACTGACCAAAGCACAGATTAATATTCAGGTTATCTGCTGTGGCTTCAGCCCGACCCTGCAAACATCATCATCATTCAGGGGACTTTCACCTGCTCTGATGAGGAGGCAGCAGAAATAATCACACTGATTCATTTCAAATTGTTTCAGCTGATTTGGGAGATAATAAAAAACCCACCGTGATAAACGCGGCGACAAACCAAGAGCAGAAAATTACAAATTTGCGCGGCGCAGACACACAAACCATYGGCGGGCCTCGTGCTAAAAATGAAAGTGAGGAAACATCAAAACTGTGATGAGAAGCGACGGCGGTGCTCAGCCCGATAAGGTGACAAGAGAGCGCAGCGTGGGGGGGAGCAGAGACGACCACGGTGGGCAGAAAATGACAAAAACAAGAGGAATAAATGRAAATAAGTGCAGTGAAGTGAAATGAAGTCATCGTGATGAGATGCAGCTGATCAGCAGGACAATGGTCCAGCAGCAGAAGAAGAGTTTCTCTGACTGAAGACTTATTGGACTGAAGCAGAGCCTTGGTCCACCTGGAGGAGAACTTATTGAGGGTCTGGATCAGGTTGGAGCTCTGATGATGGTCCAGTGAAGTCAGGACCATCTGCAGCTGCTGCACACTCTGCTGGCATCTCCAACATTTCACCAAAAACACTCCAACTCTTCCTGAATATAAAGCATGAATGTATTCATTTATGTTTTATAACTCTTTATTTCAACAAATGATAATTAACAAACACATGAGTGAAGCACACACAGGAACCAAAGAGCCGGGAGGATTAATTAAACAACGAAATGCAAAGAATCACATTCAGAGATCATTTTAAGAGTCGTTTCACTGGAAGAGTTTATTATTGGATGAACATATATTTACACTGCTGGCATCTCCAACATTTCACCAAAAACACTCCAACTCTTCCTGAATATAAAGCATGAATGTATTCTTTTATGTTTTATAACTCTTTATTTGNGGTGACATTAATAAAAGTGAGATAGTTTTGGATCAATCAGAGCCACTTTAGATCTGTTTTCAAACCTTGGCTGTAGTTCATTGTTAGTCTAACGTGTTTTCCTGTCAGACTCTGTTTACATGTGAATCGTCTACATGAAACAAGATTTGTTCCTCACTGAATCTGCTGGAGATTTTATATCTGGCTTTGTGACTTTATTTCAACATGACGTGCATAAACTCTGACATTTCTGTAACAGTGAAAGCAAACATTTGTTTGGGCTGAGTTTGTGTTGTTCTACATGTTGAAAAGTGTGAGCAGGGTAAATATCACTATTATTCAAGATATTCACTAACAAAATACTGTACTATTGACTGGAAGTCTGTAATGTGCATGTGACATTTTACAACAATCCTCTACTCCTAAAAGTGGTTTCAAAAAACATTGGCATCACAGAAGACAGCAGCTGTTGTCATGGATACAGAATGCAGCAGAAATTGTACAGTTTCATTTCAAAGATGGTTTTGTGTAAACAGAGTTTTACTTTGAAAAATGTTTGCATTAATTTTAATACCGTTTCCATGACCCACTGGTTTTTTAAATATTAATTTAAAGCTTTAATTGTAGGAATTTAAAATTGTTAAAATAAAATGGGGTGGCTGTGGCGGAGTGGTTAGGGGAGTCGTCCTGGAACCAGTAGGTCACTGGTTCGATTCCCTGTCCAGATATCTCAGTTATTGTGTCCTTGGGCAAGACATTTTACCCCTAATGCCTCTGATGTGTCCCATCAGTGTATGAATGTGATTGGCTCTGGTTAGTCTCCATAGATGATTGTACATGTTAGCTTTGTAGAGAGCTAACAGAGTGCTGTGTGAATGGATGAATGAGGACACAGRTTGTAGTGAAGAGCTCTGAGTGTCCTGGATGATAGAAAGACTCTATACAAGTACAGTCCATTTACCATTTAAATAAAAACTTGGGTCTTTATTTGATGAAATATGGTACTTTTGATGTGTCATCTTATTTATTTATGTGCGTGTGTATCTATGTATGCATGTGTGTATTAGCCCAGACAGACCACACCCCCAATGTCAGATTTTATAAGTTCTGTTTGTCTTTCTCACCACTATTTTTACCATGCAGACTTCATTAAAGGGGAAACTTTGTGTGTGAAAGATGTCTTTATTGATCTTTGTTTACACCATGAATGACAACAGGATTCATTATTTTTAGATGCATCATGTAGCGTTTGGTCACTAAAAACTTCACAGCTCAGTCAGACAGGATTGTTCACAAGATCAGCATCCTAAAACTTCTGCTTTGTGACAAACCGCAGGCTTCACAGCTGGGCTGAATGTTGCTAGGCCCCAGGGCAAGATTCAGGAGTGACGCCCAACAGGAAGTAGGCGGAGCTAAGGTCAGCARTAACACTCAGATGGGATTTAATAAGCTGCAGGTTCCTCAGGCAACCTCTGAACCTAGAGCTGATGGTCAGACAGTTCTGTTTGACATTTGCTACAAAAGAAAAGTGGAAGATTTAGTGTCCCAAACAGGTGTTCAACAGGTTAGTATGATATGTTCAACAGGTTAGTACCACAGGTATTTCCATGTGTGGAGTGGTTCTCACCTGGATATCCTCCCAGGTACACAGGGTTGTTGGTCTCAGCAGAGGTGGATTGTGGATAGGGGTTGGGGGTGGTGTATCTTTGCCCGTCTACGCTCAAAATCAGGACATGTTTAGTTTTTCTGACCAGCAGGTGATGCCACTGTCCATCACACAGCATCTGACCAGTGGAACGCACTGAAACTGGACCAGCACCATTATTCATACTGAACACCACCTGGAGAGACACAAGGACAGTTTCATCTGTCCAATCAGACCTGGTTTTGTGCAGAAAGATACAGGTAAAAGAGACAAATGCACCTGGAGAACACAAACACTTGATTCAGTAAAAAAAAAGAAAATTGTGACCTTATCAACTGTAAGAGGGTTAAAGTCAGCCCTGACCCAAACTTTTTACAATTTAAAATCAGACTCATTTTATTTAACACTTATCTTACTAGAGTTTGTCTTAGTTTGGTGTTTGGCACCAATAGGAAAGTAAAGTAAGCATTTTTTTAAGCAAGCCTATTTGATCTGCTGTTTCTGCATTTTCTCATCAGACCAAGCAGATCAATGGTTCCAGAATAAATGTTTCAGTTCCACTGGTTCATATCCAGTTTCAGGAAGAATGCCGATGGGAACATTGTCTCTGAGTCAGATATTAATCTCTGGACCACTTGATTTGGAGCAAACTGTGCATGGAACATTAAAAGAAGGATCAGCAATGCTGCATAGTTTGCAGTATACCAAGGCAACCATCTGCAGGGCTTTAAACTAAAGTATGTCCGCTGATAACCAAGGAAACTGCTTACCTGTCCATCAATCATTTCCAGTCCAATAGCATCCACCTTCGCACTGCTGATTCCTAGAAATACACCTTCTGACTGGCTTGTTTGGAACTCCAGAGACACAGACAGGTCTGAGCCAACTTTATACCCATCATGCACTGCACACATTGAGGAGATGGATGAATACAAAAAGCAGAACATTATGTATTTTCAATCAGGTTCATATGCAGAGCTATCAAACAAGACTAGATGTCAGCTAGTTGACCAAAGAACTGGTCAATATTAACTGTTTTACTAAGGGTTGTATGGGATGAACTATGAATGTGCAGAATTAGAAAATAAATTTTACTAAATTGAAACTGAATTTAAAGTTTTGTATCTGAATTAATTTTCTTTGAAACTGTATTTTGGTTTATTAAAACTTCAGTTTGACTACTTTCACTTTCAGTTCCATAATTCAGATGTTTGTGTCACATCCAGGGGTCGGATTTATAAAACTGGCGTACGCACAATTTGAGCCCAGAAACTTGCGTACGCCACTTTTTACGCCTGTGATTTATAAAATCCAAACTTGACATGAAAATGTGCCTCACAGCTCTGACCCATGTGTACGCT